CTCTCTCTCTCTCTCTTTGTGTGTGTCTATCTGGCCCTGCAGCTCAACCAGACAACATGATCACTCCCATTGGCACGGCGAAGCATTAATGAAAATACTGTTCTCTCCAGTGCAAGACGAACAACCATATAACATCAGATACGATCGGATAAGATTCAGATAAGGTTGATAACATTCCAGATAACAAGGAGCTGAGTCTCAAGCAGCCAAGATGAAGTTTCCAGTTTTCAGCTATATAAGTTTCAGAACTGCTCTCAGCCATGAACCCGGTAAGCATTTTGGACCGAGGTCTCGGGCCGAAGTTCAAGTTAGCAGAGAGATGCAATGCATCTAAGTGCCGGTAAGCCAACACCGAAGTCTCAGAGACCTGCCACTGCTACTGCTGCTGCTACTACCTTTTGCCAGCTCTCGGTGTAGGTAATCCGCTCAAACTGTCAAGATAGCGCAAACCTGGTCTGCATTTTGGACCGACCATTTTGAATCAGTTTCAGCAGATCCAAAATCAAATGAGAAGATCACAACAGCGCCTGTTCCAGCCTGATGAGAAGATCCAAAATCAAAGCAGCTTTACCTCTATTGCACACAATGAAGCACAGTTGAGTGGAGCCAATCCAACAATGAAACAGTTTTACCTCTATAACAAGGAACACGGAGCAGAATAATCCGTTATATGTCTGTGTGTGTCTGTGTGTCCGTGTGCGCCTGTGTGCTTGTGTGTGTGTGGGAGAGAGAGGTGGGGGAGGAGGGAGGGATAGACGCGACGTCGACTTGTGAGATTTCTATCTCCTGTTGTCAAACATTCCAAGTCCTCCGCCTGATCGGCAGTCTCTAAGAAGCTTCTCCAACCAGATGGGAAGTCTCCGGGAAGCTTATCTCAGCTGATGTCGATGGAAACGCGAACTCAAGTCTCGGGAACAATTGCAGTTCTACTTTCTGTTGATGTCAACAGAAACTGTTGATCAGTAGCCGATGGACAAATCGTCATCACACAGACAAAGTCGATGTTCGCTGTGGCACTTTCCATTGACACGACAACCGTAAATGTTCCGCTTCCCCTCTCGGTGTGAGGCATCCTCCTGACATTGCTCCAGTGCTCCTCTCTGCATCTGAACTCCCTCCCTCTTTCCCTTGGAGTCGACTTCCTCCTCCTCCTCCTCTTTGTCCTGTCCACCTCCTCCCCCTCCTTCCTCCTCCCTCCTTGTCTCTTCGTCAAGCCAACGACGGCATGTACACATCCGTTGCCGCCTACAGAATTTGGCCAGGTGCAATGAAGGTAAGGCCTTCGATCAAACTTGTTGATGTCCACAGAAATTGGCCTCCGCTTTACGCTGGACAGATAGACTGTAACAGTTGCACTCCTGTTCCAACACTTCCTTGTGACATCATCAATTATTTTTAGCACCATCAGAAAGGATTCGGCATCGTGACGCTGCAACCAAAAAGCCGGGAGGAAGAGGCAAAAAAACAAAACAAAAAGAAGGTATGAATCAAGAAACTTGTTACTTAAGGGGTTTAAAAATGTCAGTTTCCCTAAAACTATGTACACTTCCTGTTCTTTTTTTTGCCTTCCCCTTCTCCTCTTCCCCTTGTGCTTTTTTTCAGAAGGATGACAATCTGGAGATATCATCTTGAAACCGACCAGCCCTCGGTAATTCAGGAATTATGTTGGTCATGAATGGATTCACGCTGTAGGCTTTCCCAGTCCCGGTTCTAGGGTCCCAAATTACCACAGTCCGGGCCCCAATACTTTAGAGTCTTAGGGCCTGTAGGATCAGACACTGTAGGTCGGTAGGCTACGTGTTACATGCTGCGCTTGCAACAGGCTGCACGGGCCATTTTCAGGCCCGTGTCATTTTCAGCCTGGAAGCCTGAAAACGAAGGCTTACAGGCCCCGTGTCAGTTGGAGCCTGAAAGCCTGAAAACCAGGGCCTACAGGCCCCGTGTCTGTTTCAGCCTGACAGCCTGAAACCAGGGCCTACAGGCCCCGTGTCTGTTTCAGCCTGACAGCCTGAAAACCAGGGCCTACAGGCCCCGTGTCTGTTTCATCCTGACAGCCTGAAAACCAGGGCCTACAGGCCCCGTGTCGTTTCAGCCTGACAGCCTGAAAACAAGGGCCTATAGGCCCTCAGGCTTTAGCCAGA